ACTCAGGCCAACACTGCTGATGTCTTCACCAAGGCACTCCAGCCTTGTGATCATCAGCGTTTCTGTACTGTTCTAGGCCTTGTGCCTACTGTGCCTCTCTTGCTTACTTCTTGACTCTGCTTGTACTGTGATCTCTATACATATACCTGCATGCTTACACTTGCTAGGTTGTGATCACTGTATTGCTTGTTCTCCTTTATATAACTCTGCATGTGAACTGGCCTTGTGGCCATTTGCTTGTGCTCGGAATGCGTGGTGACGTCGTGATCCACCCTGAGCTTGCTTTGCCTCTCTTGACCGGTCTTGTGACCTCTTGTTCTCCCCCACTTTGCCTATGGGGGTGTGTCAAACTTATATGCTATAGTCTGTGTAGGCTGTAGTGGGGTAGTCAATATAGGGTACAACACTTCTAGGTTTCCTACTTGTACCCAACTGCTTGCTAGTCCAATCATTCCTTCGTTCCTATTCTGACAGTGGCAACCGAAAAGGCTTGAGTTCGGTACAACGTAACATGGTTCGGTGCTATAAGTATAATAACATATAGGAATGCACCTAACCTAGGAAATCAAGCATATCTATACATGATAAATAGCATAATAAAGTCCAGGCAAGCTAGCAAAGCCAGCAAAGCTGTCGTACTCTCACAGCGGTGTTTTCGGTGACCCAGCGTGTGTCTGTCGCGTCCCAGCCTTCAATGGTGTTCCAGCCGGTAGGTTGTTGAACACGGGGCCAAATTGCTCGTGCCCATCCTCCGACTTCTGTGATTGCCGCCTCTGATGCCGTGGTTGCCGTTACTGATGTGATTTCTTCTCCTTCCTCCACCGCTTGTGGTCGTGTGTCTGCAGGGTTCGTGGGCGAGGCGACTGGTACGGCAAGAGCGCGGAAGGTTCCATCGAGCCCCGGGCGTTGGTAGTCCGTTTCTTCCGGGTGACTCCACCTTGGTGGTGACGGGTGGCCCGGCGGATCAAGAACGAGGATGTGGTGGTTGTCGCTAGAGGTTTTGGGTGATTCGAAATCAAGGACAAATAGTCCTCCTTCGCTTGTCGCTTTTCCGATGAAGATGTCATTGTATATTAAATGAAGCTCGTTTTCCGTTGTTTGCAGTCCGACGCCACACTTAATCAGTTGGTCGAGAGACAGGAGATTGTATTGAAGCTCGGGTACAACGAGGACGTCACTGATGTGGATGCAGTAGCCGGTGTCGTGTGATTCCAGCTGGATCTGTCTGCGGCTCCTGGCGTAAATCGTTTGGCTGTTGGCGACGGTGATTTCGACCTCGTTGAAGAGCTCTTCACTGTTGAGGATGAAGACGCTCGACGACACCATGTGTTGGCCGCAACATCTGTCCAGATACCATTTGTTGACGTCCTTCTGTGCCTTAGCGAGATTCGCGAGCCTCGGAGTGATGTGATGCTCTGTCATGTTCGTTCTCGTAAACGTAGTAACACCCTTCTTCGTCGTATGCCATGCGTGCAGGTGGCGACTCTTGGATCCACTGTGCCATCTCCCAGTCGAATGGCATGCGGCCAACCGTTAGCTCGTCGTGAGTGGGGTCATTCCCCTCTTTGTCTTGGACCGAGCCTTCAGGTCTCTCCCGTGGTGGGTCTGCGAACATGTCCTCCCAGCTACGGAAGAATCGGTAGTGTCGGTTTGGGGGCGGCGGTCCATGTCGTACCATGCACGTTCATACTTTGCTTTTTTCCTTTGTCGTTTGTGTTCGCATGAATACGCGTCGGAGCTTGAGAGGTGCTGGCGACGACCGGTGGTGACACTGTCTGGTTGCGTGCTGGAGCTCCTCCTTGCTGGTGAGTCGCTCCACCCTTCTGGTCGTGATTGTTGTTGTTATTGTTGCCGTTCAGTTTCCAGCATTCTTGGATTGTATGTCATGTCTTCTTGCAATATTTGCAGAAGAGCCTTTTCTTGTTTGGTGGCGCTTGCGCGTAGAAAGCGATCTTCTCCTTCTTGTTGCCTCTTTCATTGTACAGGTCGATCTCCTGTTGCTCGGCAAGAAGCGAAGCGCAGAGGGAGGTTTCGCTGAGTGTTCCTTGGGTGCGAAGGAGCAACTTGCAGTGGCGCCAATCCGGGCTCAAGCCAGCGAGGATGATAGTGATGAACATGTCGTCAGGGAAGTTGCCGCCGCTTTTCCTGAATTGGCCTCTCAGTTTCTGCTGCGGTTGATGTATGGTCCTGCCTTTTTGTCGGGGAACATTTTCACGTTGTTCAGCTGGTTGAGCAGGCGACTAAGCGTCACCGAGTCTGTTGCCATGTGGCAGGTGCGCAGGTGTTCCCAGGATTATTGCGCGGTTGCCCACTCGTTTTTGAAGGGGCGAATGCTCAGCTGTTCTTCAGGCGACAGGTTCCGGATCAATATGGTGAAGGCCAGGAGCGATTCGTTGTAGTACTGCGTTTTCTCCTGAGGTGAGCCGTTGGTCAGGAATGCGTACGACCCGTCGTAGTACATCCAGATTTGTGCGCCTTGAGCCAGGAGCTCGAATTCGAAGCTCCAAGTATAGAAATCCTTCCCGTCGAAGGGTTTGGTAGTCCTTAGGTTTGGAGTTGAGAGGAACTTGCTCTGCATTGACGCCATTGCTTCGTAATGTGTTTGTTGTGCTTGTGCAGATCCTTGAGCTCCGCGATTGTCGAAGGTAAAGGATCGCTCGGACCCATCTCCTTGAGGATCGGGAGGTCTCCAGGCGTAACTAGAGCCGTTGGTGCTCATCGGCTGGAAGCTCTCCAGGGCGCTGATGCGGGAGATGAGCTGCTCGAGGAGCGCTGAATCCACGGTCGTTGTTGTAGAAGCGACATTGGTGGAGGGAAGTACTGGATATTCTCCAGCCTCTCCGTAGTCTGCGCCTGGCATGATGTTGCCCTTGATGTAAGATAAGTTATAATAAAGCTTGATTTTGAAGCCTTTTAGCAGTTCCTATAATCCAAACTAGCTCTCATACCATGTTAGAGTGAGGATCTTGGATTAGGATATGAATGCCTCAGAGAGTTGGTAGCGGAAGTCTTGTGGTAGGAACTCTGATCATAGTGAATGTAAATGACAAAGTTGATGAAAACATAGATTACACACATAATAAATAGATCTAGCTAGCCATGTACTCTTAGGGGTACATTCCCTTATTCTAACTACTTTACATGCAATTCTACAGTGACTCTGACTATTGCACTTCTTCTTGTTACCGAGTCGATGCGTGTAACCGTACAGACGGTTACGCCTGTTGCCATTCCTCGATGGTGAGTCAATCGTCGGTCCAGATGGTCAACCATCGCGACAGTTGACTCTTGCGACAGTTGACCTTCCTGCCCTTGATACGGGCTGATCCGATACTGCTGCTAGCGCTGCTTCGATAATGCGATACAGCTGCACCTACGGGAATGCTAGAGTCAATTCCCTTCATACTCCAACAGAAGGGTAGTGTAAGGGAAATTCTATTTTCCATACTTCGCGTCCCTGCTTACCGCGTACACGACAGTTCCCGCCACAGCACCCCAACAGTAAACCGTTACCACCTCGTGACACTCGCCCGACCATTTTTCCTGCCATTGTTCACATCGCAACCCAACCTCACGGTTCGGCTGGTAACCCGAGCTCCGGTCCTCCACCTCGACAATTCCCAACCCCGGCGCCAGGCCCGTCGCGCACCCCACAATTCGTTCGTTACCGTTACCACGCTAGTTTGCTATTTAACAATCGCTCATGCCTTCGCTAAATTGTCAGAATCCCAACCACTAGACCATTGGGATAAAAGGGCTTGTTAAGTAGCGGGTCAGTGCGCCCATAACCCCCCAGGACAACAAGCCTGTAACCCTTCCCTAAAATCAATCGGGGATCTCCAGTGGACCTCTGACACCCCCCCGCACTGGGATGCCCGAAGTGCACATACTGGGATTCGAACCCGATACCTTCGCTCTGATACCATGTCAGAATCCCAACCACTAGACCATTGGGATAAAAGGGCTTGTTAAGTAGCGGGTCAGTGCGCCCATAACCCCCCAGGATAACGAGCCTGTAACCCTTCCCTAGAATCAATCGGGGATCTCCAGTGGACCTCTGACATAAATGTACTGTTTTGCTTCGAGTGCAATCTTCATTCGTTTCCCTAGATTGTACTAATAAGAGCCTGATGGAACCTTCCAAATTACAGTACTTGTAGCAGCACTTACAGTACAGAAGCGTGGTGGGTGAGAATGAACCTCACCTCAGAAATGTCCGCTAGTTTCCAACCGCATCTTCTTCGATAACCTGATCTGTGCGGTGCGTAGCCAATCACGTCGCGATTCATGAACGTTGTCGCCACTCGGCGGCTCGGCCGCCAATTGCAAACACTGCCTTTTGGCCGAGCCAAGTTGAGGGGAAAACGCGACGCGGGTCAAGTCCATACCACAGGGTGATTCTCTCACGGCACGGACAAAGATTGTTCCCCTATCGCATCTGTCCAGTTCACGCGCTCGTGAATCTGTAATTTGCATTATCCGCTTCACCTGTCCTTTGGCCGTTGTTGGTGTCGCGTCGGAGGATAAGGTATTACACCGATTGCGCCGCGTATGCCGACATGAGTTCAGTCAGCGATAGCGCAGTCGTGCTTTAGCGCATCCTGAGCTGGCGGCAACGTGCAGAGCCTCCCCGAGCCTTGCGCCGATGATAGCATTCCCTAAAAGTTGAGCCGCGCGCTTCTGACGCCGATAATTCCGCGAGGTGTGAAACTAATAACCAGAGGTTGTGACAGACGCAATTGTCCCCTTCAAATTAGTAGGCGATCGTCAAAAGCGCAATGGACGGCGAACGCGCGGCGTGACCCACGGTGATCAGTGACAGTAACGTTTTACGTCGGCATACGGTGGTGATACCTCGACGAATTGACAGCATGTCGGCTTAATTAGGCGAACGCGCTGCGACCCACGGTGATCAGTAACCGTAGAGTTGTAACAGTGTGTTTCTAATCGTCGCCTCGACGATTTGACAATGGGGACAGACGACAGTCTGCGCTGCGCACATGGCTCCGTCTCACAACCTTCCCCTTCACTCCCTTCCGCCACGCCAGTCACATCGGCGCGACTCACATGCGCGGTTCCCCGTCGCCCCAGCCACCCACCTCTCCGCGGTATCCGCGTGCTGCTTGCTGCTCCTCTCCTCGTTATCCGCCGTCGACCTCTCTCGCGCCACCCACGCTGACTGCAACCGCTCCTCCGCCGCCTCCGCCGCCTCCGCCGCCCCCACCGCCGCCACCCCCGCGTCGTCCTTACCGTCCGCCCGCCTCTCCACCCCCGCATTGTCGTCATCGTCCCACGGCTCGTCCACCTTCCTTAGTACCGCCTCGACGCTGCTACACCCATTTCTCGAAATTGACAACTTGGACGATCTCAGCGGCGACTCGGGCGATTCGTCGCAGCCAGAACAGTCGCACGCGACGCGCTCCCCGCATCGCCTGCTCTTCGCACAGCAGCAACCCAGCATCGCTGCCGCGGGCGTTGCGAAGAGTGCTCCCCTCGACGACCCTTCTCCCCCTCCGCCGCCGCCGCCAGCGCCGACGCCTCCGTGTGAGGTGGAGCTGGACTCGTGCGCGCTGCAGTCGCTGCTTCCGCAGCTCCTCCCGCCCGCCCTCCTCGACCCCGCCTGCTTCAACCACCTCTCGCTGCACTTCGCGCACGATACTCCCGCAGACAACGGCGGTGGCGGCGGCGGGGACGAGTCGAGGGCGTCGTCGCCGCCTGAGACGGCGACGCGGCGCGATCTGCTGGACGTGGCGCGGAACAAGGCGCGCGCCAGCACCGTGTGGGCGCCGCTGGAGGGGACGGCGGGCAGCGCGGAGGGCGCGGAAGGCGCGGGGGAAACGGGGGGCGCAGGGGGACCGAGGGGGCCAGGAAGAGCCGAGCCGGCGGCGGCGTCGACTCTCACTCCAGCGAATGAAGTGATCACCGTGTGCCGCTCCGCTGGTAGGGCTTGCATGGTGACTGTCGGTGACTGCCTGTGATAAGCGGTGATGGGGGGTGTTGGGAGGGCGTTGAACTCATATTGTTCCGATGGGTTTAGAAGAATATGGCAGTGCAGTGCACACTCGTACTGCATCAACGGGCTAATATGCGATCCCCTCACCATGGCATGAGTGACGGCAGGTGTGGTGACAGCAGGTGTGGTGACAGCAGGTGTGGTGACAGCAGGTGTGGCACGAGACAGTGTACAATGGCATGTGGAATGCCCACCAATCCACCTCAGCTGCCCTCTTCTGTCACTTCCAATTTCCCCTCTTCCTTTCCTCTCCCGGCTAGAATGACCACCAATCCGTTTCGCACACACCTCTGCCCTTACCTCCCCCTCTCTCCTCCGCCGCTTCCCCTCCCTTCCCCCTCCCCTTGCTTCCGTGCCCGTACGTGCCCAGCAGCAACATTATCATCCCTGAAATCACTGCAATAGACTTCCCCTCCTCTCTCACCCCCCTCCCCTTCCCCTCTCCTCCCCCTCTCTGTCTGCCAGGCCCAGCCAGCATCACCATCAGTCCGGATCTCAGTGGACAGACCTGGAGAGGCTGGGGCACGTCTTTGGCATGGTGATTGGCAGAGAGAGTGGTGAGTGCAAGAGAGCACGTCCTTACTACCGTGGTGCCATGTTGGTTCTTAAATTTTCTCAAAAGCCATCTGACCTGATGCTAGGGTGCATCTTTGGCGTGGTGAGTGCGAGAGAGCACGTCATTACGAACATTGGTGCTATGGCTGATAGTGTTGCTGATGGCTGCATGATAGCATGGTGAGGGCATGGGGTTGTTAGTGCATGGGAATTTGAGTGCATGGGATAGTCAGTGTGCAATTGAGAGTGCAAGGAAGTGCATGACAGAGATAGAAAACGGGCCCACCTCTTCGTTGAGAGGTGCGTGAGATGGTTTCAACCCTCTTCGTTGCCCTCCTCTCCTACTATTCGTTTTCACCCCCTTCCCATCTTCCTCTCCCTTGTACCTTCAACCCTAAACCCTCGTTCACCAATCACCTAGGCCAGCTACCTCCCGTCCACAAACTCGCCCCTTGCTCTTGCGGCCGTACCCTCTTCCTACCCCCTTCCCCTCTTCCGCTTCCCCTCCCCACTCCCTTCCCCCCTCCTCGACCTGCTCTTTTGCGCCCTCCCAGGGCCTCATATTAGGCCCCTTTGCGTTGCCTGATTGTGTGCCTGCCCACTCACCCTCTGCACTCTCTCCCACCCACACTATCCTCTCCTCACCCATTCTTACCCCTTCCCCCTTCCACCTTCCCCCGGCCTCTATCTTCCCCACCTCCCAACCTCACCCTGCCCCCCCTCTTCATGCCAGGTTCGCCAACTACATTGGCAAACTGCCTGCCGACCAGCTCACCACGCTGCTGGACCTGCTCTTCTCACCGTCCACGAGAATCGGGTTCAACCTCGCGCGCTACCTGCTGGGCACCAGCTTCAATGCCACCAACAGCCCGCAGCTCACCAAAGACACCATGCACCAGACTAACCTCCCCGGCTACAAGCCGAGCAAGGCCGCCCCGTACAACTGGGCGGCAGACTGGCGGCAGCGGAAGGTTTTGAAAGGAGCGATGCAGAGAGGTGTAGATGAGGTGGAGGCAATCGCTTATTCAGCGCCGTGGTGGATGACCATCAGTGGGAATACGTCGGGGAATGTGGGCGGCAAATCGAATCTCCGACCGGATATGTACGGCGAGTTTGCGGAGTATCTAGCCACCATAGTGGCCCATTTTCGCCACAAGTGGAACGTGACGTTCAGCACGATGAATCCGGCGAATGAGCGGCTGGAGGGGTGGTGGTCGCAGGGGGGGCGGCACGAGGGGTGCAGTTACACTGCTCCTGAGCTGGATAGGCTTTGCACGGCCGTGGCGGGTGCGCTGCAGCGGAAGAAGCTTCCGAAGCGCGTCGCGGGGTTCGACAGCTTCGTCGGGTTCACGATGCGAAGCGCGAATTTATTTTCCGGGCAGTTACTATCCGGTCTGAAGAGGATTTCGGTGCATGGGTATGTCCTGCCACCACCCACCACCACGGATACCAGGGAGTTTATAGAGAAGCTGTACGTTGGATTAGCACGGATGGGGATCAGTGTGGGGAAGGAGGTGTGGGTGTCGGAGATTGGGCCGATGTGGGCGGGAGGGGAGGACACCGATGTGGGGTTGTTCATGATGCGATCGGCGATCCAAGCGATCATTATCATGGGCGCTTCGGCTTGGATTTACTGGCAGTCGATCAACCCTTACCTCCCTAACAACCCCAACTCTGCCAAGTGGGGGCTGTTTACAATAACGCACAACAATGTGTCTGATCCTGCTGTCGTGCCGCTGGAGATTACGTTCTCAAAAAAAAATCACATGATGAAGCAGATGGCTCGGGCGTCGCCGAGAGGGAGCATGCCGCTGAGAATCGAGACCACTAATGGCTGTCACCACTGCGTTGCGTCGTTCTTCAACCCCGATAAGAACTTCATCTCTATCTATATAGTGAACCAGGTGTCAAGATAGCAAGCAGGGATGACTGCATTGAATGAGTTGTGGGTACAAGTACTAACCCTAACATTGGGTTGTACCCCATATGGGCTACCCCACTATAGCCTATATAAAACTAGCACATATATAGTTTGACACACCCCCATAGGCAAAGTGGGGGAGAACAAGGGGTCACAGGACCAGTCAAGAAAAGCAAAGCAAGCTCAGGGTGGATCACAACGTCACCACACACTCCGAGCACAAGCAAAGGGCCACAAGGCCAGTTCATATGCAGAGGTATATATGCAACAACAACAGTACAGTGATCACTATCTAGCAAGAGTAAACATGCAGGTATATATATATAGATCACAGTACAACCAAAGTCTACAACAAGTGAGGAAACGTAGGCACCAGGCCTAGAGCAGTGCAGAAGCGCTGATGATCACCAGCCGGAAGGGCCTTGGTGAACACATCAGCCGTGTTCGCTCGGGTGGGCACGTGTGCGACACGAAGCTGACCACGCTGCTGCAACTCTCGAGCAAGGAAGTAACGCAGAGCGATGTGCTTGTTCTTTGCTCCAGTCTGTGGTCCTGACACAAGGCAATGGCAGTCTTGTTGTCGACGTACAGAACTGGAGGAGAACGAGGCCTCTCTCCCAAGTCGGTCAGCAGGTAGGTGAGCCAGCGTAACTCCTGTGCAGCCATGGCTGTGGCGTAGATCTCAGCCTCACAACTGGAGCTGAGAACAGAAGACGAGCGTGTAGACTGCCAAGAAACAGAGCCAGAGCCAAGGCTGAACGTGTAACCCTGTGACGACCGCTGCGTAGCCAGGTCGTCAACCCAAGAAGCGTCTGAGTGCCCAGTGAGGACAACTGGACTCCGCCCTCCAAGCACGAGCCCCATGCCCGATGTACTGCACAAGTAGCGCAGTACCCTCTTCGCAGCATCGAAGTGCACCTTTTCGGTGCCTACCAGGAGCCATGTAGCGTGCCAGAAGGCCAAGAGGGTACGCAAGGTCAGGACGAGTGCAGGTCATCAAGTACATGAGGCAGCCCACTAGCTCTGGGTACGGACCACTCGGCTCTACGGACTCGTCCGAAGGTGGAGCTGAGAGCGAGTGACCTGTAGCCAGGGGAGTGGACTGTGGCGAGGACCAAGTGAAGCCGAAGCGCTGAAGCTGCACCATGTGTGACTGAGTCAGTGTGATGGTGCGCCGTGCTCTGTCCCGGGTGATCTGCAAGCCAAGGTAGCTGCGCAGCTCACCCAGGTTTGTGCACGTGTGTCTCTTCTGCAGCTCTGACTTCACAAGGGCGAGAGCCTCAGTGTCAGCAGTGGCAAAGACCAAGTCGTCGACGTACACGAGGATGTAGAACGGCGGCAACGAAGTGTCGGTGCGCAGAAACAGCGACGGGTCAGCAGTGGAAGGTGCAAACCCAAGAGCCGCAAGTGTCGTCCTCAGTGTGTTGTGCCACTCGCGAGGCGCCTGACGGAGACCGTAGTCGGTCGCTAAGTAGGGTGGGCCCGGAAAAAAAAACGGTCCTACGGACCTACTGCTCTGATACCATGTCAAGATAGCAAGCAGGGATGACTGCATTGAATGAGTTGTGGGTACAAGTACTAACCCTAACATTGGGTTGTACCCCATATGGGCTACCCCACTATAGCCTATATAAAACTAGCACAGATATAGTTTGACACCAGGATGGCGATGACTACAGTATCACATTTAAATTTGAGTTTTTTTGGCTGATGGACGGGTCAAGCCCGTGTGTGGTGGAGGTGCAGCGGACGTCTACGAGTGAGGATGCAGAGGTGGTTGCCACCAAAAGTTACGATGACATGCCCCAGTCTCTGGCTGTGACTGCAAAAGGCAGAAGCATCACGACTATAATGATCTCTAACGTTGTATGGTTGTAGGCCTGCATAGTGTTTTTATTCTGAGGAAGAAGGGACACTGGAGTTGAGATGAGATGAAGCTCATAGCAGGAGTGGGAGGGAGGGTTGGTTGGTACTACTGCTATGAGCATTGCAAATCATGTCAAATTCATGTCTGCAGGATTGCTTTTCGTTTCATACATGGAGTACAAGTCCTAAACACAGTGTACATGCCACCCTCGCGGAAAAGGAGTGTACATACACAGTGTACACTAGTGGGAAGCTGCTCATTCTACACGCCGCTGACCAAGCTGCAGTGGCTTCATCAAATGCTCGAAAGCAAGATTTCACGGCGCGAGCGGATAATTGTACATTATTGGGTCGCGCGAATCGACGAAAAATTTACACATCGCAGGTTACGCGATCGGCAGAGTGAGGAGCACACAGTTTACCCCTTTTCGCTACCATTATGCGAATCCAACTCGCCAGATTTCGCCCCGCAGACTCCCACACAAGCAAGCAAACCACCTGCACTGAACCTCTTATCTCCCCGCAACTCACGGCGGCCTTTCAGACAGCGGCTCCACAGGGATTTCGGGATCCTACGCACGCTCTCATTTCTGCACAAGTGAAGTATAGAAATAACGACGGGTCTCACTATTCTCATCAGCACTTCGAATCGTCCTCACAAATAGTAACAGATACCGCAATTACCTGTAAGCCCGTTTCAGCTTCTCGTGAAACTCCCAGGAAAATAAAAATGGCCCGTTTCATCCCGGCGGCCGTGAAGGCCTCGTTTCTCTTTGTCTGCCTCGCCTCCGCGGTGCTCCTCTCCGCCGCCGCTGCCACTCCTGCAGCAAATGCAACTGCCGCCGCAAACAAGACTGCGGCCGCAAACAAGACTGCGGCCGCAAACAAGACTGCGGGCGCAAACGCGACTCACCCAAACCGTGTCGGGTCTGCCGGCGTGAGCCTCACGTTGACGAGCGCGAGGCGGAGCAAAGGCATGAGCCAGGGGAAGGATACCACGTGCTCGTACTACGGCAACTACTCCGCCAACCCCTTCTTTGGCAAGGGTCTTACCGTGAAGCTTCCTCCCGCCGCCTTCCACAAGCGCTGCGGCGCGTGTTACAAGGTGAGCTGCGTGAACAACACGAAGCGGTGCCGCGACAAGCCCGTGACGGTGCGCGTGGTGGGCGAGGTGAAGACGGAGAAGCAGCTGTCGCTGTCCCGCGTGGCGTGGGGGAAGATCGTGCAGGCCGACATCGCCGGGGCGCCCGTCAACGTCACGTACGTGCGCACCAACTGCGTGTCGACCGTCGGATCCGCGGTGCGCGTGCGGAAGAACGCGACGGCGGAGAGTTTCGCGATTCAGATGGTGGGACTCGCGGGGCCCGGCACGCTGCAGCTTGTCGAGGCGAGCGCGGACGGCGGCAAGAAGTGGACGAAGCTCGCTCGCGACGGCAGCAAGGCCGTGTGGGTGCTCGCGGGCGCAGAGGCGAAGGCGGTAACCGGTGCGAAGAAGGCGATGAGCGTTCGCCTCACCGCGGGGCACACGCTGGAAGTGATCGTTCTCGCTGACGTCATTCCCGCCGATTGGAAGTCTGCTACGCTCTATCCTGCGAAGACTAACTTCAAGAAGCTGATGCCCGAAGCCAAGTAATATTACACCAATCCGAAGACATCTGGAATGCACCACGACGGATGTCTGAACGTTATACTAGGAAGAAGGAAGTAGTGTACGAAATGGAGAATGTTGGATGATTCTTGGGGTCGGGTTAGCGGGGTGGGGAGTGGGATGATATTCCTGGGGTTCCAGTGGAATGTGTGTGCGAATCGATGTGTTGGTTGTCTTGATCATCTTGAATAATATATGGCCTTTTAGTTTTCTATCAGACTAAGTGGTTCTGGTGGTCACTTTGACAGGAATGCTGACATATGCTGGATGAATAAGGCACGCGCAATCAGGGCGTGTCCCTGGGTGGTGGCATGGCCACTGTAGCAGGCACTGTTGGTGGTATGCGGGAAAACCGCATGCCACCAACATTTTGCCCGAGGCGCGCTTGACACGAATTTGGTGGCATTTTTGGGACATTGCCCAATCACGCACCTGTATTTGTGCGCCAGTTTCCTGACACCAACCTGACGTTTTATGTGTTCGTGGCAGGCTGCCATCTACAGTGGCCCTGCCACCACCCAGGGACACGCCCTCAGAGGCTCCTGCTGACAGCGTTGCAGTCCAGACTGGTTATCACAACACGTGTTGATCTTTCAAGAAAACCTTCAGAGTTTACAGTAGGGAAAATTGGCTTACAAGTGGTTTTCAAGTGTACGTTAGTGGAACAGGCTGTGTATTCGGTAAGTTCGCCAAGGCGCGTCCGAGATCCAAGTCTCGGTCATTTATCTGTTTCCCGCCAAGGTTGTGTCAGAAATGGGACAGTTGTGTCAGTCTCCTTGGGATCCCCACAGATGCTTTTCGGTCTGTTGGTTGCGCAATTTGAGGAAGTGTCATGTTTCGCGGCTCAGCACGTTTCCAAGCGGTGGAACTCGGTTTCTTTGTTTTGCCGTCCCAAGACAAATAAAACTACACCGCAAATAACGTACAGGGAACATACGCCCTGGATACCCCCATCTATCGGAGTAGGGACCCACTGCGGTGGTTCTATCGTTTCGCATAATCGGTTCCTCTGTTCCCCTCGACCCTTTTCAACCTTGAAAGCATTCCGCGAGTCGCGGCCGTCCGCGGGCAAGGCAGCGGACGCGGCCCAGCCTGGACGTTACAGCGACCTTGCGGGGTTGCGAATCTGGCATCTTGCGCACCTGGAAGCGGGCGGGACGGGGCGCCGCTGGCACGCTCGCCGCTAGCGGGCTGTACGGAACACGCCGTCGCGCGCGGCGGGATAGGAATCTGGTAGCGTTTTCCCGCGTGGTTCGGAAAACTTCAACTGTTGCTTTCTCTTGACCGTGCTCGCGGCGTGCTCGTTGGCTCCATTCCCTGATATTCTGCAGATTCGAGAACCATATCGCAAATTCTACAGGTTCGAGTGCGTTCTCGGAATACCTTTGGCACTCACTAGCTACCTGCCCCGAGTCCGCGGTTCGGTCTAAGGATTTCCAACGGCTTGTTCGGTTTATCCACCAGTGGCGGTCCGGCTCCGCCTGCGAAATTCCTGATCATTTCGCCGCTAGGGTGCCGCGTTTTCGCCAGGGGCATGGCGAAGAAAGAGGAGCTCACCGGGCGATTCTCCAGCTGGGCGTCGCACGCCGTCGCACAGTCGCAGCTAGGCATCGCACTCCTGCTGCTGCCGCTGCTCGCGTGCGTCGTCCTGTGGAGCTCCTTCCGCGCGCGCGCGCCGATCGCGGGGGCCTGGGGGGAAGACTCTCAAGCGGGTTCCCAAGCGGACCAATGGAGCGTGAGCGTCTTTGCAAGGGGAGCGGGAAACGAGAGCGAAACTCTGGAAGCGGCGGGGATTGCGGGCGTGAACAGGCGATGGGGGCCTGTTGGCGGCGAGATGGCCGCGGGAGAAGCGCGGAATGGGGCTGTCGAGGCGACTCGAGAGACGTCGCGAGAGGGGGAGGCGCGAGAGGCGACGGCAGGTTTAACGGCCGTTGACGGACAGGCGGAGGGCGTTGACGGACGGGAAGAGGCGGAGGGCGAGGGGATAGTTGGGAGTGTAGAGGGAGGAGGGGTGAAGGAGAGAGGGGATGGACAAGGAAAGGCGAGAGAGTCTGCTGGGGAGGCCGCGAGAGGAGGGGAAGGTGGTGGTGGGGGTGGTGGGGGAGAGGGTAAAGGGGCGAGGGGTGGAGAAGGGGGAGGGAAGGAGGAAAGGAGCAGTATAGGTGCGGGGAAAGGTGGGGAATTGGAGGGAGGTTCAGCCGAAGGCTCGGAGGGAGGTTCGGAGGCAGGAGGGCAAGAAGGAGAGGATTTGTTGGTTGGGTGTGAAGAGATGATGAATGAAGGTTTGAGTGATAGTAGCGGGGGCGAGGAGGGCGGAGAGGAAGGGGGAGAGAAGGGGGGAGATAAGGAGAGAGATGAGAGGGGAGAGGAGGGGGGAGAGGGGAGACGAGAGGACGGGGGAGGGAAGGAGAGGGATGGGAGGGGAGAGGGGGAGGGAGAAAAAGGGGGAGAGGAGGGGGGAGGGCAAGGGGGAGAGGAGGGGGGAGGGCAAGAGGGAGAGGACTTGTTGGTTGGGTGTGAAGAGATGATGACTGAAGGCCTGAGTGATAGTAGCGGGGGGGAGGAGGGGGGAGAGGGAGGAGAGAAGGAGAGTGGGGAGGGTGGGGGGGAGGAGAAACACGGTGACGGGAACATAGGAGAGGCGGGCGGACTAGAGGGGAGTGCAGGAGGAGCGGACGCGGGAGGAGTGGGAGTGGGCAGCAATGCAAGGGACAATAGAAGCGGAGGCAGGGATGATAGCAACAGCGGCAGTGTTGGGGGCAGTAGCGGTGGCAGCAGTGGTGACAGTGCTGGTGGCGCCAAGGGTGTCGTTAACAGGAGTGAGAGTGGTGGGGCGCGCAATGGGGACAGTGGTGGGGGCGCCAAGGTTGATTCTGTTGGAGAGGCGGGCACGGCAGGTGGTGCGAGGAAGAAGGGAGGAGGGCGCAAGGAGAAGATCAAACTGGATGGTACGACGCCATGTGCGCCAAGTGCGCCATGTGCTCACTCGCCCATATCATCTTCATGAGTTGCCCGTGAGAGAGAGCTGATAGCTGATTTCTGAGGAGCCTTTTGAGTCGACTCGGAAGTCGCCCAAGTGCTTCCTCGCCCCTCTCATCGTCATGCCTTTCAGGCGTCTCATCGTCATGCCTGTCAGGCGTCTCATCGTCATGCCTTTCAGGCGTCTCATCGTCATGCCTGTCAGGCGTCTCATCGTCATGCCTTTCAGGCGTCTCATCGTCATGCCTGTCAGGCGTCTCATCGTCATGCCTTTCAGGCGTCTCATCGTCATGCCTTTCAGGCGTCTCATCGTCATGCCTGTCAGGCGTCTCATCGTCATGCCTTTCAGGCGTCTCATCGTCATGCCTGTCAGGCGTCTCATCGTCATGCCTTTCAGGCGTCTCATCGTCATGCCTTTCAGGCGTCTCATCGTCATGCCTGTCAGGCGTCTCATCGTCATGCCTTTCAGGCGTCTCATCGTCATGCCTGTCAGGCGTCTCATCGTCATGCCTGTCAGGCGTCTCATCGTCATGCCTTTCAGGCGTCTCATCGTCATGCCTTTCAGGCGTCTCATCGTCATGCCTGTCAGGCGTCTCATCGTCATGCCTTTCAGGCGTCTCATCGTCATGCCTGTCAGGCGTCTCATCGTCATGCCTTTCAGGCGTCTCATCGTCATGCCTTTCAGGCGTCTCATCGTCATGCCTGTCAGGCGTCTCATCGTCATGCCTTTCAGGCGTCTCATCGTCATGCCTGTCAGGCGTCTCATCGTCATGCCTTTCAGGCGTCTCATCGTCATGCCTTTCAGGCGTCTCATCGTCATGCCTTTCAGGCGTCTCATCGTCATGCCTGTCAGGCGTCTCATCGTCATGCTCAGGCGTCTCATCGTCATGCCTGTCAGGCGTCTCATCGTCATGCCTTTCAGGCGTCTCATCGTCATGCCTTTCAGGCGTCTCATCGTCATGCCTTTCAGGCGTCTCATCGTCATGCCTTTCAGGCGTCTCATCGTCATGCCTGTCAGGCGTCTCATCGTCATGCCTTTCAGGCGTCTCATCGTCATGCCTTTCAGGCGTCTCATCGTCATGCCTGTCAGGCGTCTCATCGTCATGCCTTTCAGGCGTCTCATCGTCATGCCTGTCAGGCGTCTCATCGTCATGCCTTTCAGGCGTCTCATCGTCATGCCTTTCAAGCGTCTCATCGTCATGCCTTTCAGGCGTCTCATCGTCATGCCTGTCAGGCGTCTCATCGTCATGCCTTTCAGGCGTCTCATCGTCATGCCTGTCAGGCGTCTCATCGTCATGCCTTTCAGGCGTCTCATCGTCATGCCTTTCAGGCGCCTCATCGTCATGCCTGTCAGGCGTCTCATCGTCATGCCTTTCAGGCGTCTCATCGTCATGCCTGTCAGGCGTCTCATCGTCATGCCTTTCAGGCGTCTCATCGTCATGCCTTTCAGGCGTCTCATCGTCATGCCTGTCAGGCGTCTCATCGTCATGCCTGTCAGGCGTCTCATCGTCATGCCTGTCAGGCGTCTCATCGTCATGCCTTTCAGGCGTCTCATCGTCATGCCTTTCAGGCGTCTCATCGTCATGCCTGTCAGGCGTCTCATCGTCATGCCTTTCAGGCGTCTCATCGTCATGCCTGTCAGGCGTCTCATCGTCATGCCTTTCAGGCGTCTCATCGTCATGCCTGTCAGGCGTCTCATCGTCATGCCTTTCAGGCGTCTCATCGTCATGCCTTTCAGGCGTCTCATCGTCATGCCTGTCAGGCGTCTCATCGTCATGCCTTTCAGGCGTCTCATCGTCATGCCTTTCAGGCGTCTCATCGTCATGCCTTTCAGGCGTCTCATCGTCATGCCTTTCAGGCGCCTCATCGTCATGCCTGTCAGGCGTCTCATCGTCATGCCTTTCAGGCGTCTCATCGTCATGCCTTTCAGGCGTCTCATCGTCATGCCTGTCAGGCGTCTCATCGTCATGCCTTTCAGGCGTCTCATCGTCATGCCTGTCAGGCGTCTCATCGTCATGCCTTTCAGGCGTCTCATCGTCATGCCTTTCAAGCGTCTCATCGTCATGCCTTTCAGGCGTCTCATCGTCATGCCTGTCAGGCGTCTCATCGTCATGCCTTTCAGGCGTCTCATCGTCATGCCTGTCAGGCGTCTCATCGTCATGCCTTTCAGGCGTCTCATCGTCATGCCTTTCAGGCGCCTCATCGTCATGCCTGTCAGGCGTCTCATCGTCATGCCTTTCAGGCGTCTCATCGTCATGCCTGTCAGGCGTCTCATCGTCATGCCTTTCAGGCGTCTCATCGTCATGCCTTTCAGGCGTCTCATCGTCATGCCTGTCAGGCGTCTCATCGTCATGCCTGTCAGGCGTCTCATCGTCATGCCTGTCAGGCGTCTCATCGTCATGCCTTTCAGGCGTCTCATCGTCATGCCTTTCAGGCGTCTCATCGTCATGCCTGTCAGGCGTCTCATCGTCATGCCTTTCAGGCGTCTCATCGTCATGCCTGTCAGGCGTCTCATCGTCATGCCTTTCAGGCGTCTCATCGTCATGCCTTTCAGGCGTCTCATCGTCATGCCTGTCAGGCGTCTCATCGTCATGCCTTTCAGGCGTCTCATCGTCATGCCTGTCAGGCGTCTCATCGTCATGCCTTTCAGGCGTCTCATCGTCATGCCTTTCAGGCGTCTCATCGTCATGCCTGTCAGGCGTCTCATCGTCATGCTTTTCAGGCGTCTCATCGTCATGCCTGTCAGGCGTCTCATCGTCATGCCTTTCAGGCGTCTCATCGTCATGCCTTTCAGGCGTCTCATCGTCATGCCTGTCAGGCGTCTCATCGTCATGCCTTTCAGGCGTCTCATCGTCATGCCTGTCAGGCGTCTCATCGTCATACCTTTCAGGCGTCTCATCGTCATGCCTTTCAGGCGTCTCATCGTCATGCCTGTCAGGCGTCTCATCGTCATGCCTTTCAGGCGTCTCATCGTCATGCCTGTCAGGCGTCTCATCGTCATGCCTTTCAGGCGTCTCATCGTCATGCCTGTCAGGCGTCTCATCGTCATGCCTTTCAGGCGTCTCATCGTCATGCCTTTCAGGCGTCTCATCGTCATGCCTGTCAGGCGTCTCATCGTCATGCCTTTCAGGCGTCTCATCGTCATGCCTGTCAGGCGTCTCATCGTCATGCCTTTCAGGCGTCTCATCGTCATGCCTTTCAGGCGTCTCATCGTCATGCCTGTCAGGCGTCTCATCGTCATGCCTTTCAGGCGTCTCATCGTCATGCCTTTCAGGCGTCTCATCGTCATGCCTTTCAGGCGTCTCATCGTCATGCCTTTCAGGCGTCTCATCGTCATGCCTGTCAGGCGTCTCATCGTCATGCCTTTCAGGCGTCTCATCGTCATGCCTTTCAGGCGTCTCATCGTCATGCCTTTCAGGCGTCTCATCGTCATGCCTTTCAGGCGTCTCATCGTCATGCCTGTCAGGCGTCTCATCGTCATGCCTTTCAGGCGTCTCATCGTCATGCCTGTCAGGCGTCTCATCGTCATGCCTTTCAGGCGTCTCATCGTCATGCCTTTCAGGCGTCTCATCGTCATGCCTGTCAGGCGTCTCATCGTCATGCCTTTCAGGCGTCTCATCGTCATGCCTTTCAGGCGTCTCATCGTCATGCCTGTCAGGCGTCTCATCGTCATGCCTTTCAGGCGTCTCATCGTCATGCCTGTCAGGCGTCTCATCGTCATGCCTTTCAGGCGTCTCATCGTCATGCCTGTCAGGCGTCTCATCGTCATGCCTTTCAGGCGTCTCATCGTCATGCCTTTCAGGCGTCTCATCGTCATGCCTGTCAGGCGTCTCATCGTCATGCCTTTCAGGCGTCTCATCGTCATGCCTGTCAGGCGTCTCATCGTCATGCCTTTCAGGCGTCTCATCGTCATGCCTTTCAGGCGTCTCATCGTCATGCCTTTCAGGCGTCTCATCGTCATGCCTTTCAGGCGTCTCATCGTCATGCCTGTCAGGCGTCTCATCGTCATGCCTTTCAGGCGTCTCATCGTCATGCCTGTCAGGCGTCTCATCGTCATGCCTTTCAGGCGTCTCATCGTCATGCCTTTCAGGCGTCTCATCGTCATGCCTGTCAGGCGTCTCATCGTCATGCCTTTCAGGCGTCTCATCGTCATGCCTGTCAGGCGTCATGCCTTTCAGGCGTCTCATCGTCATGCCTTTCAGGCGTCTCATCGTCATGCCTGTCAGGCGTCTCATCGTCATGCCTTTCAGGCGTCTCATCGTCATGCCTTTCAGGCGTCTCATCGTCATGCCTGTCAGGCGTCTCATCGTCATGCCTTTCAGGCGTCTCATCGTCATGCCTGTCAGGCGTCTCATCGTCATGCCTTTCAGGCGTCTCATCGTCATGCCTTTCAGGCGTCTCATCGTCATGCCTGTCAGGCGTCTCATCGTCATGCCTTTCAGGCGTCTCATCGTCATGCCTTTCAGGCGTCTCATCGTCATGCCTGTCAGGCGTCTCATCGTCATGCCTTTCAGGCGTCTCATCGTCATGCCTGTCAGGCGTCTCATCGTCATGCCTTTCAGGCGTCTCATCGTCATGCCTGTCAGGCGTCTCATCGTCATGCCTTTCAGGCGTCTCATCGTCATGCCTTTCAGGCGTCTCATCGTCATGCCTGTCAGGCATCTCATCGTCATGCCTTTCAGGCGTCTCATCGTCATGCCTTTCAGGCGTCTCATCGTCATGCCTTTCAGGCGTCTCATCGTCATGCCTGTCAGGCGTCTCATCGTCATGCCTTTCAGGCGTCTCATCGTCATGCCTTTCAGGCGTCTCATCGTCATGCCTGTCAGGCGTCTCATCGTCATGCCTTTCAGGCGTCTCATCGTCATGCCTGTCAGGCGTCTCATCGTCATGCCTTTCAGGCGTCTCATAGTCATGCCTGTCAGGCGTCTCATCGTCATGCCTTTCAGGCGTCTCATCGTCATGCCTTTCA